GTGCTAGGCATTTGGTACCCAGGAATCAGTTGCTCGTACTTGGTCATTCCAACACCGGGGAAGGCAAGGTGTCTTTTCAGACCCTTAGGCAAGGAGATGATGATGGATGGGGCTTTTACCCTCAGCACAGAGGCTAGACACCAGTGACACCCACAGGCTGCAGCTCACAGGCTAGCCTGGATTACCACTGGAGGGATAGCCCTGCAGTCCGGTCCCAGAGGAGCAGTTTCTCCTTTTAACCCCAGGGCTCCAATTAGTCTAGACCAAGCCCGAAAGTCCGCTTCCATCAGGTCCGTGGGGTGATGCCACATTCCTAGAAGGGTTCCCAGGGCTAGCTCAGAAAGCACCAGGCTGAAATCAGGTCAGCGACTGGGGTGGGTGGTGACAGTGAGCTGATGTTGCTACCTTTGTCTGCCTCTCAGCAGCCCTGCTCTCCGCAGCACTCCCCTGGGCCTGCCCCCGGGACCAGCCACCAAACCCCAGCACACACATGGCAGAACCACAGATGTATTCCCTCCCATCCTGAACTCAGGCATTCCCAGTGAATGTGAACATCACTGGCAGCCCTGCGCAGCACATTCCTACTCCGTGACACTTCCAGGACTCCAGAATTCTCACAGGCTTTCCATAAATAACACAGGCTTTTGCCTGTGTTCCTGGAATATGCACTCAAGTGCCTGCTGACTGACTGATTAAAGCAGTCATGGCTTCTCTTTGCAGTCACTAAGGGCAAAGGGCCTGGAGACAGCGTGACCATCCAAAAATATGTGTCCCAAAAGGATCGTGACTAGTCACTCCCTTGAGTACTCTTACTGTGTCCCTACCAAAAACACTTCCAACATCACAGAAGTTTGTTTTTTCAAGACAGGGCTTCTCTGTGTAGTCCTGGCTGTCCTGGGACTCTCTTTGTAGACCAGGCTGGCCTCGAACTCACAGAGGTCTGCCTGTCTCCGCCTCCCAAGTGCTGGGATTAAAGGTATGCACACTATGTTTGGCTACAGAGGTATATTTTTTAAAGTCCTGCTTTTTATACAGAGATTCCTTTCCTCTTTCCACCCAGGCTCTGGCCCTAAGGATCCACGACATTGTACAGACACTGTCAAAGACACTGTGGACCATTCCAGGTCAGGCAGACAGGGTCCTACATTGCTTTTTTTCTCTCTTGGGTCTCATTATTACGCAAACACGTTTTCAATGTTGAAAAGTACAGAGAATTAAAAAAATCTGTCATTGTCTCCATTTTGCTTTTTCAAGAATATGGTGATATTTTATTTGTATTAAAATGTTATTTGTATGTTAATAAATAAAGTTGCCTGGGGGTCAGAGCTATTAGCAAGCCATAGGAAAGCAGGGCAGTGGTGGCGTACTCTTGTAATCCCAGCACTTGGTAGGCAGAGCTGGGTAAGTCTCTGTGTGTTCAGGGATACAGCCATTATTGGATACACATGCCTTTAATCAATACCAATCATGGAAAACCTGGAGGCCTATACAGACAGGCCGTGAGGAGGTGGTCATGTGGTTGGGTTTACAACCAATGAGAAGGCAGAACAGGAACTCTATATAAAGACTTTAACACAGGGGTAGCTCTGGTTTGGAGAGGTAGGACCACCACAGGAGGAAGGGTAAGGTTTTAGCTCTTAGCTCTGACCTCTTGGCTTTCTTCTTTGCATTGGTTCTGTGTTTCTTATTTAATAAGAAGGTTGGTTACATCTACACACGAAGTTTTGTTTTGTTTTTGAGAGAGTCTCGTGTCTCATGTAGCTCAGGCTGGCCTCAACCTTGCTATGTAGTTGAGAATGACCTTGAATCCCTGGCCCTCTTGTCTCTGTCTCACAAGCGCTGGGATTACAGCTGTGCACGACCAGAACTGGCATATGAAATTTCAGTAACAAAACAGGTTATGTAGCGCAGCTCTGTTTTCCTCCCCTTCCTCTTTCCCCAAGTTTGGGTGCGTGAATAACAAACACGCTTTTATCTTTACATCCTCTGACATAAATACACACAGCACAGATCAGGGGGGAAAAAAAAGAACCAGATGACAAGTACTTCTGGCTCTGTGGGCAGATGGTCTTTGCTGCTGCGTGTGAACAAAGCCACAGACAACACATCAGTGAGCAGACAACACGGGTGTGTTCTAATAAAACTTTACTTAAAAGAACAGGCAGCAGGTTGGGTTTGATCCTCAAGTAGTACTTTGCCAACCACCGATGTGCACAGCTTTATAAATTAAACAAATGATGTCACACTACTCTACAAAAGCTATTCTCCCTATTTCAGCTGCCCTACAGGGAACAGTGAGTGACAGTTCCCTGCTGCAAGCCACAATAATATGAAGTAGGAATTCAGCTGATTATGACAAGCTATAATACCTGGAAGAAGCCAGGGGCCTTCCAGAGGTAAAGCCGAGGCTTAAGGAGTCTTAGTGACATTGGCTTTTGATTATTAGCCGTTTACTGCGATGAGTTTCTCCTGTGCTATTGCAGCTTTTCCATCTTTTATTGGGTACCATTTCCTTTCTACTAGTTGAATATTTAGATAACATTCTGTGCTGACTGCTATACACAGCCAGAACCCCAGTTCAAGCCTCCCTGTAATTATCGTCATTAGCAGCATCTGGCCAGGACCATTCCTGGATGGATGAAAGTATCTTATCAGAGATACCTCTGTACTATCTAAGAATAGACTTAAACATCCAGACTATCTGTTTGAGAAGGCCTGGCAGATGTGCTAATTAAGGTTAACGTTTTCCCTTTCCAAAGTCTTCTCTCTAGTTTTAGATCTACCTTTAACTGTTAACTCAGAACTAAAGGGTTTGTACTTGCAGGTGCATCAGGCTGACTCAGGCTGCCCAGCCACCGAGTACACTCCCCGGCCCTGCCAGAAAGCAGTAGTCAAGATAGCTTGGACAGATAAGGGGACCAAAGGAAAATAATGCAGTTTTATTTTCAATCATTACTGATAGACTCCTAACACTTTAACTAACCACTTCTAAGAATATAGTTGAGCACATAAAACCCCCTTTGCTCAGATATTAACCAAATTTAGCCCTCAGTTGATTCTCTTCCCCATTAGTCACTTCTCTTTTGGGTTGCAGATGATGGCTGGCAATTACTGCTCCTTTGTGTGGATCTTATTGCCCCTCCTTTTGACCCTGAGGGAATTCAAGCCTGGTGACCTTGCCTTAGCCAGAGCATTGCTGTTGCATGGGTATATAACTGTAAACCTCAGAGACCTGAGGAGACAGACGGAGAAGAGAAAAGGGAATGGAGGAATTAGGTGGGTAAGGACTGGAGAGGAATGAACTGAGATGGGGAAGAACTAGGTTGAAGCGCTAAAAGAGAGTACCAGAGGAACGAGATAGAAGATGAGAAGAAGAGCCAGATGAGGAAGAAGAAGATGGGGAAGAAAGAGATGGGAGAGGAGCTGTGGGATGTTCTGTATGCTGTGAATGGGTTGTTCTGATTGGCTGATAAATAAAATGCTGATTGGCCAGTAGCCAGGCTAAGATGGGAAGGAACTAGATGGATGAGAACCTAGATGAGGCAGAACTAAGATGAAGGAATTAAGATAGAACTTAGAGGAGACAGCAGATAAACGCAGAGAGAAATCAGGCAAGAAAGGAGCTAAGAGAGCAGAATAGAAGTTGTGTAGAGAGAGAACTGACTCAGAAGAATAAAGTGTATGGACTAAAGAGTTTCGAGTACGTAGATTCATTTAATATCGTCAAAGGTTAGATGATTATAAGCTGCTTGTAGATTCTTCCTGGACCCTGGGAGAGGACTATTGAGGGGCTGGACCCCAATAGTCCCCATTAGTTCCCAGCTTATTGCTCTATTCTTTCATGGGGAAACCTGGCTTATTCTCAGCAGGAGCACTGCCAATGTACTTCCATTCCCAAGATGCTTTTCACCGTTTCGCTTTTTTTTTTTTTTTTTTTTTTTTTGGTTTTTCGAGACAGGGTTTCTCTGTGTAGCTTTGCGCCTTTCCTGGAACTCACTTGGTAGTCCAAGTTGGCCTTAGAACTCACAGAGATCCGCCTGGTTCTGCCTCCCGAGTGCTGGGACTGAAGGCGTGTGCCACCACACACAGCTATCCTCGTCTGCATCCTTTTTTTTTTTTTTTTTTTTTTTTTTTGGTTTTTCGAGACAGGGTTTCTCTGTGTAGTTTTGGTGCCTGTCCTGGACTAGCTCTGTAGCCCAGGCTGGCCTCGAACTCACAGAGATCCACCTGGCTCTGCCTCCCGAGTGCTGGGATTAAAGGCGTGCGCCACCACTGCCCGGCCTGTTTCGCTTTTTTACCCTTCCCATCTGTAGTTTGGAAGTGGGGCTCAACTTCAGCCCGCTCACTTCCCAGCTCTGTGGTTTGGTTTGGTTTTTCTTTTCCTCCTAACCCAGGAGATACTGCTGATGACTTGAACCCTGTCTGTGATAGTTCATCTCTGTTGTCAACTTACCATGATCTAGAGTCTCCTCTGAGGAAAAGCTCCGGATGTGTCTAAGGATGTTTCCAGAGAGGTATAGTTGAGGGGAGACGTCCCAGAATGTGGGGGGCACCACGCCCGTGGGGTCCTTGACTGAGGAAGGGAGAGGCTGATGGAGCAGCCTCCATGCCTCTCTGGTCCTGTGTATGTGGTGCAGCTAGCTGCTTCACGCTCTCGCTGCCGCGCGCGCCGTCCCACCACGATGGCACTCATCCGTTTCCAAACACCGAGCTGAAACACACCCGTGCTGTAGCTGCTTTTGTCAAGAATTTTGTCAGAGTAAGAAAAGCAACAGGCACATCTTAATTTTTCTTTTCGTCGTTGTTTTGAAGACAGGGTCCAACCCTCCTGCCTCCCCATCTCTGGAATCTTGGGATTACACGCCCAGTTTTTGTGATGTTGGAGACCAAACCCTGCCTCGGACTGGGTCTCAGTAGGGCCACCAGACCGAGGGAGAACGGGGTGAAGGTGCTCAGGATAATTGGGATTCAGCGATGACAGACAGACACAGACACCAGAGTATGCTGTGAAACTGCTGCAAATTTACTGAACATCAGGCTGAGATTTTGTGCAATCTTAACAAGGAACTAAGTCCAGGGGCAAAAGGAAAACAATAGATGCAATCTTTTGTGGTCACACAATGTGGTTTTCAGAATGATTAATCCTTTCAGGCAGAGACATGCTGTGGCCTGAACCCTAAGAGCCAGATCATGTACTCAATAACTAGTGATCCATTTCTAGTAATTTATTAAAGACAGTTACAAAGTCCTCGCCAAGAGCCTTAGCCCACCTCTTTAGCACAGGTGCTATACCCCTCAATATAGCTGACCTTGTCTGCCTATCATATGTACACTATACCTTTCTGCTTCTAATCAGCCTTCCCATAAAAGGCAACTGATTCCACATTCTTTTCCCCCATGATTTATCCAACCGATTCCCTTTATAGTCATAAGCCCCTGTAAAAGGGGGTGGATCTAAGTAATTTCGACTTCTGAGACAAACCTTGGGGAAAACTGAGGCGTATGTGCATGAAGGAAGAGAATTGGAGGAGAGCTCTGCTCTCCCTCTTCCCTCAAGGCATAGCTCTTTGGAGAGACCTTCTTTTTGTTTGTATGTTGATTTGGTTTGGTTTTTCAAGACAGGGTTTCTCTGTGTAGCTTTGGTGCCTGTCCTGGATCTCACTCTGTAGACCAGGCTGGCCTCGAACTCACAGAGATCCACCTGGCTCTGTCTCCTGAGTGCTGGGATTAAAGGCATGTGCCACCACCGCCCGGCTGGAGAGACCTTCTTTAGGACAGGACAGAGGGCAGCCTGGCCTTTGGCCTTTATGTAGCCAATGAGAGACCTCATTCCAGGGCAGCGCCAAATGCCCCCAAGTGTTGAGATTTCTCAAAGCAGGAAGGAGCCCAGAGGGAGAAAGCCAGACATTTCTAAAAGTGAGAGCCGTCCCTGCCTCAGGGCCACAGTTTCCTGAACAGCAACTATAGAAATGTGACCTGGGCAGGCTGGGAATGATAGGGAACTGAGCTTACACAGGGCTCCCCAAGTTCTACTGTTCGTTGATACAGAAGTCCTCTTTCTCACTAACACTTACCTCCCTCCAAACACCAGTTTTCTCAGTTGGGTGAATTTCCTATCCCTGGGGCTGGGGGTGTAAGATGCCAAGTCAGCCAGCAGAGGGTGCCCGCGGCACAGCGGCTCTCCTGGTCTGTCCTCCCATGGGTTCCTCTGAGACAGCAGGTGTCCTGATGAAAAGCACCCAGGCCACCCTCTCTGTCCAACTCTGGACATTCCCGCCTCCGAGAGTCCCTGTATCCTCTCCACACCCCAGCAGCCACACAGGCACACACAAGGCACACGCGTGCAGTCCCACATGCACATCGCATGTGATTCTGTCCTTCTTCCTCCATCCTGGGGTGTGTGGAGCAGGCAGCTCCTCTCCAGCAGGCAGTCTGTCCCTTCTGCAGGGCTCTCTGCATCTTGATGCCACAAGGAGGTACAGGGGACCCTGCTGCAGCCTCGGCAGAGCAGACACAGCTGTGTTGGCAGTGAGGTGACTGCAGGAGAGCCTGACTAGGTTTGCGTCCACGTGTCCTGCAGAGTTCAAGCTGAGGGTGAATCAGGGCTGTGGCTGCTGACAGCCCTGCTGGCTCAGGCTCCTGTGTGGTTCCGGCCCCAACTCACGGCCATCCTCTGCCCACACTGTAACAGACTCAAAGACCTCAGCATAACTGACGCCATGTTAGAGGCATCTGACCAAGAGACCCCATGGACTCTCAACTCCTGCTAAAACAGCATCAAAGACCTAATCCATCAAAGACCTGGTCCATAGTTCCAGGAAAGGCCCAAATATATGAACCTTGCTTTATGGCTTCGTGTAGTTCTGTTTTTGTGCTAATGGAAGTGTGACAACAAGGATGTGACTTTTGTGCATAAAAGACAAAGGGATATATGGCTCGAGGCTGCATGGTTTGGGCAAGTCCCCCATGCAGTCACCAACCAGCATTTAAGCATGTTCGTGTGGTGGTCTCTTGTGGACATACCTCACAACAGCATGCCCAGAATCCAGATGTTTCTGCTTGAACCCTTGTACCCTGAATATCTGTGCTGTAGGCACAGCAGGGACCATGGCCAGATCCCTCCCCCACCGCACTTGTCCCCAGACTTCTGCCTCAACCAGAAGATGACCTTCCACCCTGGGGGGGAGCTGGTTCTGCTGGGCTGCAATCAAGTTACAGGTATAGAACAAAGCCAAGCCACTGGTGGGCTCTGAAGGGAACTCAGCACTCCCTGGGAGGCAGTGGCCTCAAGGAAGGTCAGGCTGTGTTGGTGGGCAAAGGCAGCTGGGAGGGATCTCTAGTTCCACATTCACAGCGCCGCCGTCAAGATCTGGATCCTGCTTTCTCTCATTTTTCAGGATTCCCTCCGTGGATTGCTTTGGTGCAGTGTGGAAGGGGCCACCGCCATCCCTGGAGCAACCGTCACTTCCCTGCTCAGTTCTTGCTGTGGATAAAGGGCTGCTAAGAGATGAGTTCAAGGATGTGGGAGATATGCTGGGGACAGGAGCAGAGGCAGTGTGTGTGTGTGTGTGTGTGTGTGTGTGTGTGTGTGTGTGTGTGTGTCTATTTGTGTTTACAGGTGTGTGTGTGTGTGTGTACATGTGTGGTGCATGTATATGGATGTGGATGTGTGAAGGTGTTTGTGTGGCAGTATATGCATATGTGGAATGTATAAACGCGTGTATATGCATGTACATGCTTATGTACTGGGACAAACACGTGTAAATTGTGAGGCATGAAACCATAAGCACCGGCCTCGGCTCACTACTGAGCACACTGTGAGCTGTTACACCCATGTGACACGTGCTTATCACTCACAGAACTCTGAGGTGTTAGTACTGCATGGTTCTTGTCACTGTTTGTTAGACAGATGAGAAAACAGAGACAGCTGAGAGGTGTCACCTGCTTGTCCCTTCCGGCTCTGCTCAAGGGCTTCCACAGCAGAAGTGTCACAGGACAAGCTGGACCAGGAGGAGACACCACGTCACTGGCCTTGAGGGACTATGCTGGACCCGGACCTCATGCTGAGATGGTCCCGGATAGAAGCTTCCAGACAGGGCTGAGTGCACAGTGTGGAGACCAGGCCTTGTCTGCTGGGAAAGCCCGTGCTTCCGGGACTCGGTAGCCAGCTAAAGGAGAGGGAGATGGATGAGTCCTCTTCGTGGCTCAGTGGTTTAGCAAATGATCGACACAACCACCATCACAGAGAGTGAGCACGGAAGATTTAACTCGTCTGGTTGAATTTAGTGTCTGTTCCCAGCCACTGAGGTTATTTTCACTTCCTTAATGATGCTAATGAGAAGCAGCACATCCACTTCTATTCACTTTATTCATGTTTGTGAACACAGGCATGTGCATGAATACCTATGTATACATATATACGTATTTATGGGGGTGAGGCTTGCTGACATGTCACTCACACCCCTAAGCCTATTGTCAGTGCACAATCGAGTTCCACAGGCGTGCACAGCCAGCTAACCTCAGCTGTGATCACTCACAGATTTACACTACCCCTGTGTCCTTGGACGCCCATTCATTCGCCCTAGCTTTTCTGCTAAAAGTTCTAGAACGTGGACATAACGGGACTATTTTCCGGAGGTGTTGCTGGGTTGCATCACTCAGCCATCTTTTGCACGGGCATTCACAGGTTCTCTTCTCAAGGAAGCGGCTTTCAGTTGGGACAGAGGGATTACTGATGGAGGACCCCATCCTCAGGGGCCAAGATGTGACCGTGCGGAAGAGGAGAGAGCACACCCCACTTTAATGTCGGTGGCGAAGGCAGGTGAGGTTAGATGCGATGGAGTGTGTACCTTTCAGATCACACTCAACGATGAGACAGAAAACAGAGCCTAGCTCACTCTCTGAGCCTAGGTCACTCATCTGTGGCTTTGGCTAAAAACAAGCACAGTGCAGTGGGAAGAAGGGGAGTCACTTTCTGTCTGAGGTGTCCTGAGGTCCTGTGAGGTGGAGTGACATGAAGCCCAGTTCCTGTTCTTGAACTATTTATGAGGAAAAGAGTGAAATAAGAATTCTATGCTCCAAAATGATAATGACCTTTACTCTCAAACCACAGTGTAGAGAACCCATGGGAGGGAGCTCTGGGTCTGCGTTCCATGCCTGCTCTCCGCTGAGATGTCTACTCTGGGCTCTTTCAACCCAGCTCTGCGTAGTGTTTTGGGCACTGAGTTGGCCTGACAGTGAGGAAAAGGGTTTGTTTCATTTTGTTTTCCTATTACTTTGTCTGTCTTTAGAAGCAAGCTACAGAAAATCCTGACTGAGAAGAATTTTTAAAAATATTTTAGTTGGGCGGTGGTGGTGCACGTCTTTAATCCCAGCACTTGGGAGGCAGAGGCAGGCGATCTCTGTGAGTTCAAGGCCAGCCTGGTCTACAGAGCGAGTTCCAGGATAGCCAGAGATGCATAGTGAGACCCTATTTCAAACACGTGCACGCACGCACGCACACACACACACACACACACACACACACACACATACACGTACTGGCTTTTATGTTTACTCCACTCTGTGTCTGGAACTGTACTAAGAGATGCAGCAAGGCTGTGTGGTCCCTGTTTTCCACAGACACCCAGGAGCCTCTCTCTCCTCTGGAGGAACGGAGGCAGGGAGCGCAGCTGTCCGCTCCCATCCCATCTCCCCCACCAGCCAGCAGACGGAAGCGGCCAACATCTCTGTGTTTCACTCCCACACACTGCCTCTGGTATCCACCGAGTCCTGAGTTGTTGCTTTACATTCTAGACCTGTTCCTGACACCGCACTGTCCCAATGCTAACTGACTCTGGTGTCCTCCCTCAGGCACCTGCTGCAGCTGGAGCGCTTGTCCTTTACTCCGGCACTGTGGCCAGAATCTCACTTCTTCCTGGGTCTGGGAAGGGTTAGGGATGGGACAGGCACTCGAGAAGCTTCCAGAAAGTAAGTTGTTCTGAGTTTTTCTCTTTTCCCTTCCTCTCTGGTGTCCCTCATGTGTCAGAGCTGGAGTCTTACGTTAGACAAAGGTAGACTCGCCCCAAGGGTGCATTCACAGACTTTCAAACACTCTGAAGTCAACTGCAACTTTAACATTTTGGCTTCAACAATTGTGATTGCAGTTCTGTGACTTACTTCTCGAGGGACAGACTATTTGAAGGCCTTCAGAGAATGGGGAGGAGCCCTGCCTGGCGTGTGGAGGGGTCAGCATGTGGGGAGCCCCAGCTCTCAGCCCATCTCTGTGCCCTACCTCAAGCCCATGCACCAGGCCTGTGGGTGCCCCTCATTGGAATTCCTGGTGAAGCCTGAGCATAGTCACAGCCCCAAGGGGCATTGGAGAGGTAAAAAGTCTGCACCAGACCCAACCTCCCACAGATGTTATGTGCTGTGCGTGTGCGTGTGTGTTTGTTTTGTTTTGTTTTTTGTTTTTTGTTTTTTGTTTTTCGAGACAGGGTTTCTCTGTGTAGCTTTGCGCCTTTCCTGGATCTCGCTCTGTAGCCCAGGCTGGCCTCGAACTCACAGAGATCCGCCTGCCTCTGCCTCCCGAGTGCTGGGATTAAAGGCGTGCGCCACCACCGCCCGGTTTGTGTGTGTGTTTGAACATGAGCTATGGAAGTTCAGCCAGACAAACAAGGCCAGGTCTTTAACAGGGGAAACAACTCCAACTAAAACTAACTCCTCCCTCCCTCCCTCCTCTTGCTATCTTTCACACACACTAAGGATGGACCTCAGCAAGCACTCTAGTAACTTGTGTTTGTTTGTTTCAGACAAGGTCTCATTATGTAGCTCTGGCTTGTGCAGGACAGATGGCTGCTTGCTTGTGCAAACAAGGTACAGAGTCATGCCTCAGCATTGGCGCTCCAAGTGGAACAAACCACCACTTTATAAAGTGGAGTCCCGGAGCTGGAGAGATGGCTCAGCAGTTAAGCACTGGCTGCTCTTCCAGAGGTCCTGAGTTCAATTCCCAGCAACCACATGGTGGCTCACAACCATCTGTAATGAGATCTGGTGCCCTCCTCTGGCCTGCAGGCATACATGCAGACAGAACACTGTACACATAATAAATAAAATAAATTAAAAAAGAAAGAAAGAAATCTTTTTTTAAAAAAAAGAAAGAAAAGAAAAAGAAAAAAATGTTTAAAAAAATAAAATAAAATAAAGTGGAGTCCCAGCCTGGGAGCCACTGTCCTATGGGCACAGCCAGGAGCAGGTCCCAGCCTGAGCTCAGCAACCACCTCTCCCTCCAGGACTGTTTTCCCATGACTGGGGATTTGCATTGGGGGGAGGGGGGCTGGAGGACTCAGGTTGAACGTGTTATAAATAAATCAGATAGTTCACTTTCATAAGTGCCTTGAGCCTTAGGTCCAGCAACAGACGGACAAAGAACACCAGACTCGCAAACGCCTGCTGGCCTGGCTATCCCTCTCTCCCCTGCAACCAAGATCCGCTTAGTTACCCACCCACCTCCCAAATGGAAATTTACAGTAGAAAACTGCTCATAGCTAAGCTTGCCTGCAAGGCCCTGCACCTGATAAGCCTTGAATAAACGGGATGTTGCGGAGGCCCAAATTACTCAGGGTCAGAGAATCTGAGCTTGCTTTACCCAGCAGGGCTGCATAAGGGGATGATCTGACCACGGCCGTGGTTACCAGGTGTTTAAGAGTCTACGCTGGGCTGTATCTAGCAAGGGGGAGGTCTTTTGCCTAGCCCCTTGGCATTGTTATAAAAAGCCCTTTTGAATAAAGTCCTGGGCTGTTGGGTACTGACCCAGGCCCTCCCGAAGCCGTCCTGTGTTTTTCCTCTTGTCCACTAGGTCTCTCTTTCTACCTGATATTTTTTTATCCCTCTCTCCTCAAGAGTACCCAGGGTAAAGTGGGGGACCCCCCCCCCACAGGATGTAAAGTGTAGGGATGAACCCACACATCCCTGTGTGGAAAGGTAAGACCTGGATGACAAGGAAGGTTGTTCCCTCCGGACACCTCAGGAGAGGGAGGCAGAGCCATGTTAGGGTCATAACCCGTTCTCTGCATAGTCAGCGCACCAGCCAGGCTAGGCAGAGGCCCGGCCTACACAGTGCTCTTATGAAGTGGGAATTGTTTCCCACAAGTTCTGTTCTCAAGCTGGACTCACTAGGGACGATTCCTGCCTACGTTTATCAGACTCTTGTGTGCATCTAGGGTTGGACTTGGAAGGAGGCAGTGGAGACGCCCAGGAACCCCAATAGCCACCTGTTCGCTCGGTCCTGGGTTGGACTAATGAACAGGATATGCCGGCAAGGGGAAGCTGGCAATGGTCCCCAGCCCAAGACAACAGGGTCTGGGCTACTCCCAACACCCACTCTGAGGGAAGGCCTAGGGATCCAGTGAGGGTCAAAGCCAGGGCTGCAGAGCAGGCGTGTGTGTCTGTGGGCGAGGGGGAGGGTGTGCACTGGGAGACGGACCCTCAGACATCACTAGAAGGGAAGCAGAGAGAGACCAACCCAGAGACCCCAGTGCTTCCCTGGCTGTGCCTGGACTGTTCTCCGTCTCAGCAAAGCAGGCCACGGGTGAAGTGGGGTTGCTGGGATGAACTTGGGGTGCCCCTGATTCTCTGCAGCACCAATGCCTAGGAGTTGCCCCGGCCTCAGTGAGGCCTGTAAGGCCTGGTTTCATTGGTTTACCCAAGGGGGAGAGCTGCCACGAGGGAGGGGAAATAAGAACAGAGTATGGGGTGCATATATAGAAATGTCATACACACAGCGGAGCCCAGTGCCATGTATAGTAACTTAAAAATAACATTAAAAAATGCAAGAAAATGAACGGGCCAGGCCTCTGGGCGCCCAGTGTTCTCCAACCGATTGAAGTGCCGGGCACTGTCTCATCTCCAGGCACAGCCAGAGCTTTAAAATGAAACAACAGGTGTCAGGATGTCTCCGTGGGTTCAGATCAGGACTAGGGACAGCTGGGCCCTCTGCCTGCCAGAGGGCCTGCGTTCACATCCGAGAGTCAGATCAGGGGGTGTTTGCCAGTCTCCTGTGGGCAGGTGTTTCCATCACCATAGTCCCTACGGAAAGGCCAGAATGGGGGCTGCACATGGAAGTGTCACCGGTGATCCCAAGATTTGGGAGGGAGAAGCAGAAGAATCGGAAATTCAAAACCAGCCTCGGCTATATAGCAAGTTTGGGACCAGTCTGGGTTACATAAGTCCCTGACTTTAGAAAAACAACAAAAAAGAAAGGGAGGGAGGGAGGGAGGGAGGGAGGGAAGGAGGGAGGGAATGTCAGAACTAGCAGGGACTAGGGCAGAGGGAGCTTTGTCACCCTATCACGAGGCCAGCCAAGGCTTCACTCTGCACAAAGCCACATGGATGCAGGGCTAGTCATTCAGCGAAGGGACACGCGGATGGGACAGCTGCAGGTGTGGTACAGAGAGTCTGAGTGAGTAGGACTGAGTCAGAGATGACAAATCCAATTGGAGCAACAGTAGATCTCTCTGTTAACAGAGCCCAAGTCTGAAATATTCGTTCAGCCTCTCCTAGAGAGACCTGAGGCTTGCTCAGGGCATAGCCTTCTGAGAGAAGGTTGAGGCTTGCTCACATGGGCATAGCCTTCTAAGAGAAGGCTGAGGCTTGCTCAGGGCATAGCCTTCTAAGAGAAGGCTGAGGCTTGCTCAGGGCATAGCCTTCTGAGAGAAGGTTGAGGCTTGCTCAGGGCATAGCCTTCTGAGAGAAGGTTGAGGCTTGCTCAGGGCATAGCCTTCTGAGAGAAGGTTGAGGCTTGCTCGGGGCATAGCCTTCTGAGAGGCATGCTAGGTGGAGACTGAAAGGGAAAAATCAGTAGCCATCTTGAAAGACGCTTCCCCCTCCCCTCCTCCAAAGGTATTTGCTGACCAGCAGTTTTAGAAGTGATCAGAAGTTGAACTTACAAGGCTGGGACAATAAATCTATGTATCCTGGACTTGGCAAAACAAGATATGGGCAGTAATGGGCTCAACTGACCAGAAGTTGACCTCAGGGGAGAGTAGGACTGGAACAATAAATCTGAATGTGTCAACAAAAGCAGGACATAGGGAACAAAAATTTATGTCTCTATAGATATCCTGAATCCTGTTAGCCATCAGTAACCTCACGCTTATAGTTCAGCCAGTAACTTCAAAGAACTGCCTCACCCCTAGCCCCTTGTCTAATCCCAAGCTGCATGTAAACCTTTCCTATATAAACCCCTTAAAGCAAATGCTCAGGGCCGTTCTCCTCTACCCACTGTGTCGGATGTTGGACGTGGACCAAGCTTGCTTATTTTGTTATTAAAAACCTCTGTGTGCTTGCATTGGATACTGGCTCTGTGGTAGTATTGTTTGGGGATCTTGCGACCTGGGCACAGCAGAGACAATGGACATGCTTAGCCCTCAGCAACAGTGTCTAGGAGCCTGGTGATTTCCATGTGTGCAGATATTTTCACAGCAGGCCACATCCAAAAGTTTGCCTGCACCATCAAAGCTTGCATTGGTCATGTCTGGGGGACTCCAGGAGCAGTGTGTGTTCATCATCTGATTAAAAATTTCATACATAGGGCTGGAGAGATGGCTCAGAGGTTAAGAGTACTGCTTGCTCTTCCAAAGGTCCTAAGTTCAATTCCCAGCAACCACATGGTGGCTCACAACTATCTGTAATGAGATCTGGTGCCCTCTTCTGGCCTGCAGAGATATGTGCAGGCAGAACACTGTATACATAATAAATAAATAAATCTAAAAAAAAAATTTCATACATAGAACTAAAATTTGAATAGTCAAGAAATTAGTTGAGATAAACTTCTTAAAAGTCAATTTTCCATCTGGGCTGGAGAGATGGCTCAGCAGTCAAGAACACTGGCTGCTCTTCCTGAGGACTGGGTTGAATTCCCAGCACCCACACTGTGGCTCACAACCATCTGTCCCTCCTGTCCCAGAGGAGCCAACGCCCTCTTCTGGCCTCCAAGGTCACTGCACACACGCACACACAGTGCACTGGTACACATGCAGACAAAACACCTGTAGAAAGGAGGGCGGTGTGTGTGTGTGTGTGTGTGTGTGTGTGTGTGTGTAAGATGATCGATTTAAACTCCCTTGTGTAGCGGATAACTGTTCTATGACCTTGAAGCACAGCCCCTAGAGATGTAGCAGGTAACTGTCCTACCTACCTATGACCTTGAAATACCTGCCCCTGGGGTGTGGGTCCAGGCTACCTGTAAGACCTGAGACGTGCACTACACCACTCCCTTCTCTCCCTCATGGGCTTGGATGCTGAGACGGACCAGGCGGAAGAACAGCGTGAGACTGTTCTTCCAGGACCCTATAATAAATCTCCCATGCTGTAGTGAGTTTTCCTCCCAAGTAAATTCCTTTACCCTTTAAGCAGACTCCGTGGACTTCTTGTAATACACTTGGTTTAGTTAATGATTTGTTCTAGAGCCTTTGACAGCAGTAGCTCTCAGATATCAGAATCGATGACTTTATTCAGGGGAGCTGGGCTTTCCAGTGAAGCCGGAGAGGTCATGTGTGTTCATGGGGAGAAAGCGGGAGCAGGACTCTATGGCAAGGAGCAATACATACCCAACATCTGCAGAAGCCACGTCAAGGATGCTTTAGAACTCTTCAGAGGCTGGGGTTAAGATCTGACGGAGTCCAATCGGGGGTTGAATCGGCTGGTTTTTCCTGTGGCAAGGACAAAGGAGAAGTGGTTAAAACCTCCTTGATAACTATCCAGAAACATCTATCCCAACACCCCAGGCTCAGCTGAGGACCCCACCAAACACTGTCAGCACAAGACTGTTTCTCAGCAACAAAAGGTGGAAACGGGGGCTTTTCAGTGCAGGCAGGTGAGATCTAAAGCCCAAGCTCAGACGACAACGACATGATTCAGGAGGAGTGTGAAGAAGACCTAGGAGCCCAGGGGACTGCTCATAGGCTTTCCTACACAGAAGTATTTTCAAGGTTTATTTATTTACTTTTTTACTATTTGTGTGTGTGTGTGTGTGTGTGTATGTGCGTGTGTGTGTGTGCGTGTATGTGTGTGTGTGTGTATGTGTGTGTGTGTGTGTGTGTGTGTGTGTGTGTGTGTGTGTGTGTGTGTGTGTATGCGTGTGCCCGAGCACCAGTACAGGGCATCAGACCCCCTGGAGCTGGAGTTATAGGCCTAGAGTTAGGTGTCAAGGAAAATTACCATGTCTTAGCCACAGAAGAACTTTTCAAAGAACAGTTTATGAGAATGCCTTTAATCCCAGCTTTAGGGAGGCAGAGGCAGGCAGATATCTGTGGATTCAAGGCCAGCATGTCTACAGAGTGAGTTCTAGAACAGTCAGGGCTGTTACACAGAGAAACCCTGTCTGGGGGGTCGAGGGGTGACGAGAAAAAAACGCCTTCCCAATTCTGTGACTGTGAATATAAAAATGGACAGTGAGCAATGAGTTCCCGGAGTGCTAATCCTGGCCAGCCTTCCCTCCCCCACCTGCTCAGGGCCACCAGTCGGGTGGGGACAGCAGCACAGTGCGGCCAGCCCCGCCTTCCACCTTCCAGGCAGCTGCCTGAGGGGAAATCTCTAAATGGGGACAGCTGCTGCTTTCTCAAGGCCATTTCTGGGCATGTCTGCTTAGTTCAGGTAAAACACTATGAAATATCAAACAGGAATCTCACGAATCAGCTTAGCCACATGGACGTGCTCCCAAAACCACATGGAGAAACCACATACAGGCAACGACGGCCAGACCGTACATTCAAATGAACTTTGACATAAATCTGTGGCCATGTGTGTAGGCGACCAGTGTCCTAGCCACAGCAACCAACCCGGAAGCCATGCTCTCAAGAACAACTTCTACACCAATGCACCCGGAGCTGCCCGGATTTCACAGCCCACAGCTTCCATCCCCAGGCCAGCCAGAGCCAATGGACTCCCTGCCAACTGCATGAGAGCAGTGTTGGCACTGACCCACCCCCAACATGCCTCGCCAACAGCTCTACCCGTGGTCCCTCTCCCTACCCCGATTTCCCCCACTCCTCTGCCTGCCTTGAGTCTCTGCCAGTCTCAAGCCATGATATCTGACACTTCAGTCATGGCAAGTGCTAAAGAAACCTCTTGTTTTCATTTGGATGGACATCTTTACTTCTACAATACTGCTAGCAGATCCTCACACAACCCTGGGTCAAGGCAGGAAGCCATCTATGTTCCCAAAGGCACAGACCTCCAACAGCTTGCCTGAGGCTGCTGTTGGGACAGGAAGTTGTTCAGGGACTCTAGTTCAATATGGTGAGCTAGGGAGGGGACTTTCAACCCAGGTCACCACCATCACAGGGTCTTTAGGAGAGAGAGACCGAACCCAACTGTGAACACAGATGGGCAAGCGGGCATTCAGAGCCTAAAAGAAGGTGGGGTTCAGAGGACAGGAAGAGGAGGCCTGGGTGGGGGGGGGGGAGGATTGCAGTAAAATGAAGGAGACAGATCTTGAAGGCAGGGCGTAGCAGACACCACCTGGGAGAGGAAGCTAGGACTGAGGTAAGATTGTAAAGCTCAGCAAGGTTCTTGAGGGAAGAACACAGTGCCGACAAGCACTGAAATCCAACCTTTTGTCTTCTCTGGACCGCTATTAAATCTGGGTGTCCAATAATCTAGAGATTATTTTTGTGACATTGTGATCTACAGACTTTATGTTTGAAAACAATGAAGTTACGAAAACAGTCATAAAGAAACTTCATAATGCTTTAAGCACGTACATGCCTTTGCAATGGGCTATGTTCATAGCTGTCCTGGCCCCACTGGGCTCTCAGGTTTGAACTGGACACTCTGGGTTCCATCCTGGGTTACAGATTCCTGTGCTCTTGTCCCTGGAGTCACTGTGAAAACTAAGATCCTAAACACAATGGTGGTGAAACCATTCACATAGGAGACAGCACTTCAAAGTGTGTAGAGAGCCAAGCCAAGATTCTCACATAGTTCCTAGCACATCCCATGATTCAGATACTATAAAACCAGGTAAGTAAAAGTCACTCTACAGAATTGGTCCTTCATCATCCTTAATACTCAGGCCCCAGAAGATCATGAGATCAAAATGAATTTCACAATAACCCAAGGTCTGTTAATGGGCAATGCTTGTCATTGCTATATTCCATGAAATAAATGTCCATTCTCAAGATGTTTCAATTTCAGTCAATATAAAAAACATGAATATTTATAATCCAAAGTTTATGCATTTAACAAAGGTTAAGAATTAAGAATTGTGGGTTTTAGCCGGGCACACCTTTAATTCCAGCACTCAGGAGGCAGAGGCAGGGATCTCTGTGAGTTCAAGGTCAGCCTGGTCTACAGAGTAAGTTTCAGGACAGCCAGGGCTACACAGAGAAACCCTGTCTCAAAACAACAATAACAAAAAGAATTGTGTGTTTTTTGTTTTGTTTTTGAGATAGGGTCTCACTATGTATACCAGGCTGGCCTCCAACTCACAGAGGTCTGCCTGCCTCTGCCCCAAGGGTTTGGAGTTTTTATTGGTGAAATTATTAAGGCCACTCCACGTAGTTAAAAAGGAGGTTTATTAGTGGCGTAACTTACAAATGACGGGATAGGTAGGTCGCAGGTTCTGGGGAAGGTGTGTCGCAGCCCAGCGGTGTTCTCTGGAGAACTCTGCTCGGTCAACCTCCACCACCGTCGAGGGTCCAGGAACAGAGCGAAGGTGGCGCATCCGAATCTCGGGTCTTCAGCATCCTCTCTTGGCCCCGCCTTGTAGGCGTGATAGTTACAGAAGCCTCAATGGGGGTTGGAACTTCCAGACCAAAGCTGGAATGGCTACCCACTACAAGTTTTGAAAGGGTCCAGAAACCAAAACCACCTGAAGTCACTGTTTGGGGACAGAGATATCTGCTGCCTTTCGCCACTCTTCCTGCCTCAGGTGCTCTCCGTCCCCCTAGCTGGGGGAGAAAGCAAAGCTAGGGCCATGATGGTTGATGCTATGTGCAGACTCGCCCTGCCGCAGACCGCCCAGGGGCCTGGCTGCACATCACGCCGTGTCAAGGGGTGCTCTCCTGGGGCAGACGCACATGTGAATCATCAGAGAGGAGGAGGGAAAGGAGGGAGAAACGGAAAGCAAAACCATGAAAACATTGTCGTCTGGGCTGAAGATCTAGCTCAGTGGGCAGGGTGCTCTCAGAGCATGTACAACGCCCTGGGTCCAACCCCAGCACTACATAATCCACGCATGGTGATGCACGCCTGTAATCTCAGCCAGTTCGTAGGTGGAGGTTGTCCTCAGCTACAGAGTTCAAGGCCAGCCTGGGCCTTAAGAAAAGGAAGGGGGGTTGGGGATTTAGCTCAGTGGTGGAGTGCTTGCCTAGCAAGCGCAAGGTCCTGGTTTTGGTCCCCAGCTCTGAAAAAAAAAAAAAAAAAAAAAGGAAGGAAGGAAGGGAGGGAAAATACCATAACCTGGGGGCATAAACAGACACTTTTTCTCACTTTGGAGGAATCCAAGCCTATAGTCCCTAGGGTCAGCTCCTGCCTTGCAGACAGTTGTGGACCTGCTGTATGTGCTCCAGGCCCCTTGCTAGGGTGGGAGTATGGAGGAACAGCTGAGAAAAGGCTTTCTCTTCATCTGAAACAGTGGTTCTCAACCTGTGGGTCATAACCCCCACAGGGTCACCTGTCAGATAATTCATTACAGTTCAGAAGTAGCAACGAAAATAATCTTATGGTTGGGGGGTCATAACAACACGAGGAACAGTATTAAAGGGTCACAGCATTGGGAAGGTTGAGAACCAGCTCTTAAGAGTCTAAAACTCCAATCCTGTGGATTAGGACCCCCTCAGCCTTAACTGCCTCCTGAAAGTCCTATTTCCAAAAACTGCTGCCTGGGAGTGTTTGGGGGATGAAGATACAACACACGAGTTTGATGACTGGGCACACATTCGACCCACAGAAGCAGGAATGCCCACCATTTTACAGGCAGGAACCTGAAGGCTAGTCATACAGTTAAGCTACAGAACTCAGAGAAGAGCCACATCCAGCTGGCTAAACTGTAGAGCTGCCTCCCCTCTCCAGCCCTGTCCACCTTTCTCGTGTTGGCTTCTGAATCCCTGCTGGGTCTCACTCCGGAAATGACAAACAGGTCAGGAGCAGGACCCGGTGACGCACAAACAGTACACCGGACAGCAGCTCCTCCGTGAGCTCAGCATCTGTCTCAGTTAGGGTTACCATTGCTATGACCAAAGCACTTGGGGCGGAGAGAGTTCATTTCAGCTTATACTTCCAGGTCACAGGTCATCACTGAGGGAAGTCAGGGCAGGAACCTGGAGGCAGGAGCTGAGGCAGAGGCCATGGAAGGGTGCTGCTTACCAGCTTGCTCCCCATGGCTTACTCAGTCTGCTTTCTTATAGAACCCAGGACACCAGCCCAGGGATGGCACCACCCACATTGGACTGGGCCCTCCCCCATTAGTCACTAATAAAGAAAATGCCCTGCAGCTGGATCTTACGGAGGCATTGCCTCATTTCAGACGCCTTATGTTCAAATGACTCTAGTGTATGTCAGGTGGACATAAAACTAGGCAGAACGACTGGCCCCTTGTCAGCTCGACACACACACATATCACTGTGAAGCCCCAATCTTCCCCTCTCCCTTTCTCGTTTATCCCCAAGATGACCCGCCAACATAAAACATTTTTACAAACTTAAAAAAAAAGTCTTTACAAATTGAAACATGTTAAAAATTCAGTCATTTTTAAAATCCAATGTCTCTTTTAAAAGTTAAAAAAATCTCTTTAAAAATTCAGTCTCCCAAATGTGGGCTCCTGTAAAATAAAAAATAAATTACATTCTCATTTCAAGAAGGAAGAACCAGGGCACAGTCACAATTTGAACAAAGAAAAGCCCAACTCCGAAAGCATAAAAACCTCAATGTTCAATGTCTGGGATTCACTCACAATCTCCTGGGCTCCTCCAATGGGCCTGGGTCACTTCTCCGGCCCCGCCCCCTGCAGCACACACAGCTTGTCTCCTAGGCCCCAGCTGACTCCATTCCACCAATGCTGTTCTTGGTGGTTACCCCATGGTCCTGGCATCTCCAAAATGCTGTTGTCTTCTGCTGCAACTGGGCTGCACTTTCACCAATAGCCTCTCCTGGGCTCTCTTCAGGGACACCAATCCTGCCATACAGTGACAAGCCTCAGCTTCTCTCCATGACCCCTTCACGCCTTCAAAACCAGGACCACCTGGGTGACTCTTATACTACCAAGTTCAGCTGCTAGAACAAGGTACAACCTTGGCCTTGTCTAGAACACAGCTTCTGTGTGTGGACTCTCAGGAAACATTCCAGAAGATTTCACCTCAGTGATGCTGGTTTCTTCTTAGTCACAGCTGATTCTTCAGCCCCAGCTGACCAAACACTATAGATTATCCACACAAATGGCCTGGTAGTCTTTGCTTCCCTCTGAAACTTCACAAGCCAGGCCTCCATAGTCTGCACCGCTCTCAACCTTCTTATTTTCCAAGCTCCTACAAAACAGCCCATTGAGCTCTCAATAGTCAATGCCTTTCTTGCCCAAAGTCCTTCCACAGTCCTCCCCAAAACAGCATGGTCAGGTCTGTCACAGCAATACCCCACTGTCCTGGTACAAACTTGTCATAGCTAGGGTTCCCTCTTTGCCAATGACTCCAGCTTGTGTGAAGTTGACTTAAGATGAGCCAGGACCAAGGAGGGTCAAGATCACGATGGGGAAATCTACAGAGACAACTGTACCAAGCTCATAGGAACTCACGAACTTTAGACCGACAGTTGTGGAACCTGCATGGGACCACACTAGGCGCTCTGCGTATGAGAGACAATTGTGTAGCTGGGTCTGTTTGAGGGGCCTCTGGCAGTAGGATCAGGATCTATCCCTGGTGCATGTGCTAGCTTTTTGGAACCCATTACCTATGATGGGACACCTTGCTCAGCCTTGATGCAAGGGGGAGGGGCTTGGACCCACCTCAACTGAATGTACCAGTCTTTGCTGACTCTCCATGGGAAGAGGGGATAGGGGGTGAGTCGGAGGGGGGGATGGGAGGAACAGGAAGAGGAATGAGAGAGGGATCTGTGGTTGGTATGTAAAATGAATAAAAAAATTTTCTTAAAAAAAATTAAGGGTTGGGGATTTAGCTCAGTGGTAGAGTGCTTGCCTAGCAAGCGCAAGGCCCTGGGTTCGATCCTCAGCTCCAATAAAGAAAGAAAGAAAGAAAGAAAGAAAGAAAGAAAGAAAGAAAGAAAGAAAGACAGCCAGCCAGGAGGTGGTGGCACACACCTTTAATCCCAGCACTTGGGAGGCAGAGCCAGGCAGATCTCTGTGAGTTCGAGGCCAGCCTGGGCTACAGAGTGAGTTCCAGGAAAGGCGCAAAGCTACACAGAGAAACCCTGTCTCAAAAAAAAAAAAAAAAAAAAAAAAAGACTAGGCAGGACAGCACCCATGGTTGAGAGGGCAGAGAGCAGCAGAAGCAGACATGTGGAACGGAAGTTCTCAGAGGGCTGCGACACTTGTTGACTAATTACCGACAACGTCACCAGAGCATTCCCTTTCCTAGGGTTTGAAGTCAGGTGGAGGGCAGACAGTTCATGAGCAAACAGATTTAGCTGTTGACTGACGCCAGAGCAACAATGTCTTGTGGAAAACCAAGTGGAACCAGGTGGAACTGAAGCCGGAGGGGAGGAGGACCCAGCAATAAAATCCAAACAGCGGAGCAGGCTTGCAGTCACTTCAGTAGTACGTCATCCTCAAGTGGAATGTGTAGATACTCTAACCCGAGTGTGGATACTCTAACCCCAGTGGCAAGACGAGAAACTGAGGATCACACACACACACTCATTCGCACTCGCGAATGGATGATTTCAAAAAGGAAAAGAAAAAAGTTTTTTATTAAATTTATATTGAACTTCTTCTTTAACAACAACAAAAAGAGATGAATTAAAAAGCAGAACCTGCAGCCAGGTGGTGGTGGTGCACACTTTTAATCCCAGCACTTGGGAGGTAGAGGCAGGCAGATCTCTGAGTTTAAGGCCAGCCTGGTCTACAGAGCAAGATCCAGGAGAGCCAGGGCTACACAGAGAAACCCTGTCTCGAAAAACAAAAACAAACAAACAAACCCCCCCCCCCAAAAAAAACAAAAGGTGGCCGAGTCAAACTGAATTCCTAAAACACCAGCACATTTTGGTCTGGGTGAACCTGCACTGTCTTAAGGAGTTGCAGCTCACGTAGTCAAGTTCGTAACTGAGCTTGAACACTTACTAGCTGTTAAAGGGAGATGTCGGTCCCTTGGACTTCATTACGTGGACATTCACAGCCAACAGGGAGCTCCGAGCCTCTCAGGAAACTCCATCTAAAAGAAATGAAGGCCCATGAATGAGCGCATGTCCGCATGCAGAAAGGTGTCAGGGGACATCCTTCTACAGCAGCCAGACCTTGCGCTGTCCCTTCCCCTGAAAAGTAAGCACCCTTGATATTCCTGTCGCTGACCCTTGGCCCCTCCCACTGGTTCAAACATCCCATTTTTCCTTTCCAGGCTTTCTGGGTGCCAAGGTCTGTCCTTGGGATTGAGAGGCCTAAGTGTGAGCCCGCTGTGGCTCCCCCTGTTCTACTTTCTTTCTCAATTTCATTTTCTTACAGGAAAAGATGAGTCTTTGGGTATTGCTCCAAACTGCACGGGACATCGAGAGGAATCAAGTAAAATTAAAGGACACCAGAGGTGCACTGTGTGGTTGCTTATGCTCTGAGAGGCCTTCCAAAGAGCGAAGGAGATGGAAAAGAACACGTCGCAGAAACATCCTGACACCGTGTGCTGATTGGCTTTACTTGTTTCGGTGAGGAGCTGTCTGCACTGGGTTGGCCTGTGGACATGTCTGTGCCGTTGTCTAAAGTTAACTGATGTGGGAAGTCTCTGCCCACTGCGGGCAGCACCATCCCCTAGGCACGGAATCCTGAACTACATCAGAGTGGGGAACCTGAGCAGCACAAAAGCAAACAGACGCTTACGTATTCATTACTCTCTGCTCCAGACTGTGTATGTGACATGACCGGCTGTTTTTAGGTCCTGCTGCCTTGACTTCCCCACGTGAGAACCTGGAAATATGAGCCGAAATTAACACCTTCCTCCCCCATGTAGCTTTTGGCATGATGTTTTATCACATCAACAGAAATCAAACTAGGAAACACGATGACAGAGAAAACAATTAGGAAAAGGCAAATGCTAGGCGAAGAAAAAGAATGCCAGACAACCTACATAGAGTTCATAGGCCAGTCAGGGCCACCCAGGGAGACCCTGTCTCCATACATGCATACATACATACTACATACATACATACATACAGTATAGAATTGTACACAGAGTAACTGCTAGTGGCTGTGCTTGAAGCTGGTTTATATGATGGTGTGCTGACACAGTGGGAAACCTTCAGAGGAGGGACCTGGGGGAACCCCTTGGATCATGGGGTAGGTGTTTCCTGGGAAACTCTGGCTAGCCATCCTCCGAGGATGGTTAGAAAAACCTTTACTCCCTGTTCTGAGGTGTGGCCTTGCACTCCTGCATCTGCCATGGGTCCCCCACCAAAGCCTGCACATTGCTGATTGGGCTTACAGCATCTAAAACTGGAAGCCGAACCTCATCTCTTTGTAAAGGTGTCCTGCCTCAAGTATTTCATTATAGTAATGAAAAATGGACTGACACAATGATTAAGACAAAACAAGGGCCTTAAGATGTTATTACAAAGCAAGAGAAAACATCAGACAAACTAGCTGTTCCTGGAAACTGAGTGGCTTGCCGCAATGATTATTCATCAGAGAAAGTTGATAAACAATGAAGACCAAGACCCTCCAGCCCAAGGAGCACTGGTGTCCCTGGGTCAAGAACCAAGCAGACACCACTGACAGTCCCTACGAAGACACGGGTAAGAAAAGCTTCTGGAGCTACAGTGTGCTCTGACTTCTTGGGTCATACGCATGTCGTTCATAGGAAAACTTATGAGGAAAAATGCCAAGTTAAAACCCAATGAAACCACTGAACTTCAAGATAAAGAACACCAGGTGGAGAGCAATCCCACCACACGGCATCAGCCCTCTTCAGCAACATTCCAGTTTTCCTAACGATCATGAAGAGGTAACAGAAGCTGCCAATTTAAGTAACCTAAAGCTCCTCTACAAACAAAACATTTTTAATTTAAAGGAAAGCCTGGTCCAAGAGTATCGTTCCCAAACAACCGTCTGTTAGATTATGGAGCAACCAACCTACACACTCACATGTGAAGAATTCCTGGATGACAACGTCCATGAGGCCAAACTACAGCAAACTGACACTGAATTAAAAGACATTTTGGAGAGGAAGAATACTGAAACAGGAAAGTGCTTTCAGGTCCCCATATAAGCAATAAAGAACAAAGCGCCCAAGAACCCTGGGGGGCACACCACAATGGGTCCTCTGGGTCACGGAGGTATGGTTGGCCCTGCATCCAAGATTACTTCACGTCCCACTAGGTCTGAAGCTATCGTTAAGGTCCATCAACTGATGCCGGGGACCTGATGCATTCTGTATGCCCTGGCCGGGTGCTGGATTTGTCCAGGGAAAGTATGGAGCACAGACGAGCCAACCAGAAGGGCCACTTGGGGGATTTTGCAGTCCTGATGGACAAGAGGAAGAACTGGAGGAAGATGACAGAGAATGTGGCCAGATACTCTGTTTTGTGAGGACCTTTCAGGGAGTGAGACAGGAACCAATGCAAAGAAAGATGAGAGACGGGGAGGGGCCCGAGCTCCTGGAACCTTTAGTCCCTGAGCTCCATGCTTCAGGACCCTGGAACTGCAGAGCCATAGGCCATGCTCTTCAAGGAGCATCTGGATCTGCTCGTCCTGGCACACACCCTGTAATTCATCCAGTCCTCCAGCATCCTTCCAGCCCATCCATTCATGGAAGAAGATATGCTGCACTTTGAGGCTTCACATTAAGAGTCTTGATGGATGCCTTGCCTCTCTGGTCCTCTTGGGACTGAGGTAGACGCAATACAGGCAGTGGAAAAAGAGGAGAGAAGCTCATGGTTGCGTGCAGTTGACTCCCATCAGCCTCTTCTCCTGAAGAGCAGCCAACAAGCACACAGTCCTACTCACGAGGAAAAGGAACTCAGATCACTTCCTGGTGGTGATGTCACAGGTCCCGGACATTCCAGGTATCCAGGAGACCAAGGCTGGGGAAGCTGAAGACCTTCCAGGGACGGGCCTCCTCCTTCTGCTGGAGGGACCATGGCAACGAACGGAGGAGCGGGGACCTTCTTATCTGTCTTCCTGCTGTGCTGCTGGCCAGATGTGCAGCCCTGGCCGAATAGAGAGTTTTCAGGTAGAGTCCCCAGGAGACTGGCAGATAGAAAACCATAGGCATGAACCAGGCAGGTAATGTGCCTCTGCTATTGTTTGATGGGGTTCCCTTCTAAATTCCAGGTGTTGAAATGATAACCGTAGGTGCTAGCTGGGATCTTCATGGTAACTGGGCCATGAGGGCCCTCCCTAGGGACCTGATTAAGGCCTCTGTCAAAAAGGTCTTTGTAGCACTTCACTTCCTGCCATGATCATGTAGCAGTGAGCATTGTTCTGGAGCCAGGAGTAACCCTCCATAGACACAACACCTGCCTGAGTGTGAGGAATACATTTATGTTCTTTGTAACGACACGGCCTCAGGTCTTTTGTTATACCAGCAGGAATGGACTAAGGTGTTCTCCTTCCTGCCTGTGTAAATTTACCATTGAACCAATTCCAGTTTCTGTCTTGAAGTCCTTTGGAATTCTGCAAGTCTCTGGGAGAGTTGTTCTGTCCCATGTTTTAACTTTAATTAACTGCAAAAATATTCTAACTTACCTAAAAGGAAAGGAAGGATGACAGGAACCTCAGGATGGGTTGATGTTCTTGAATTTAAATGACTGTGAACATTTTGCTAGTTTATTTTAGCTTGTTCTTTGGTACTTTAAAAAAAAATGGCACATACATCCATGTGTGCATCCATGTGCACAGGAGACTAGAGGGTGACATTGAGTGTCCTCTATTGATCTCCACTATATTTTCAAGACAGGGTGTCTCACTGAACTCAGAGCTCAATGATTGGTTAAACTATCTGGGCAGCTACCTCTGGGCATCCACCTATCTCTGTCTTCCCCGGTCCTGGGGTTACAGACATGCACCACCATGCCCAGATGTTATGTGGATGCTAGGGGTACGAGTTCACATCCTCATGACTGCACAGTAGGCCCTTTACTGAGAGTCATATCCTCGGCCCCTTGCACTTTTTAACTAGTAACTTTAAAGTTACTTTTTACTAACATTTTCATTGTGTACATTCATTGTACATAACTCCATACCATGTATCAACATTTTCATAGAAGTATGTAATATGTGCCAAGCACGTCCCTTCCCGTATCTTTCTACCCTGATGTCTTAGTTACTTTTCTAAAGCCGTGACAAAACACCATGACCAAGGCAACTTATAAAAGGAAGCGTTTAATTTGGGGCTCACAGTTCCAAATGGTTAAGAGTCTATGATCATTATGTTGGGGGGCATGGCAGCAGTCATGGCGCTGGAGTAGTAGCTGAGAGTATATATCCTTACACTCAAGTAGGAGGCACAGAGAGCTAACTGGGGATAGCCTGGGCTTTTTAAACCACAGAGCCCACCCCCAGTGACACAACTTCAACAAAGCCACACCTCCTAATCCTTCCCAAACAGTTCTACCCACTGGGGACCAAGTATTCAAACACATGAGCCTATGAGGCCATTTTCGTTCAAACCACACCTGCCTTCCCTTCAGCCCCCTTCATTCCTCCAGAGAGTTTTGCCTTACCTTCATATTATACACACATACAGGACATTTACCTTTCAGAAGCTGGAGTAATTTCCTTAACACGGTCATCTCCACTTGCATCTCTCTCCTACAAATGGCATTAACTTTGCTGTTCACTGTGGCTGAAGAAGATTCAATCACGTACAGACAGCACATTTTTATTATCCATCCATCCCTGTTGTTAGGAACCTAAGTTGGTTCCATAACTTGGCTACTGTAAACTGGGTTGCAATAAACATCAGTGTTGAAACAGCTCCATGATGTGTTGAAGTCCTCTGCATAAATATCCAGGAACTGGCTCATGATGCCACTTCCTTTAGTTTTTCTGAGGAACCTTCATACTGAGTTCCATAGTAGGTAGACTAGTTTCCATTCCCCCAGCAGTGAGCACGTTCCCTGGTGTCCCACTAGACTTCCTGTTTTCTTAATGGATACCATTCTGACTGGAATCTCAATGCAGTTTTAATTTGCATCAGTCTCTGTAGTAGAATATTATTTTATTTGCTTATGTTGCATTGGTTTAACTCCGTGAAGCTGGGTTACTGTGCCTGTCTAAAACACCTGATGGTCTAATCAAGATCTGAATGGCCAATAACAAGGCAGGAGAAAGGATAGGCAGGGCTGGCAGGCAGAGAGAATATATAGAAGGGGAAACTTGGAAGGAGAGACCCAGGAGCCAGAGAAGAAGGACATCAGGGACCAGCCACCCAGCTACACAGCCAGCCATTGAGTAAGAGTAAGAGAACCGGAAAAGCCCAGAGGCAAAAGGCAGACGGGCTAATGTAAGTTAAGAAAAGCTGGCAAGCAAGCTGAGGCTGGGCATTCATAACTAAGAATAAACCTCTGTGTGTGATTTATTTGGGAGCTGGTGGAGGGCCCCTCAAAAGATCAAAAACAAACACCAGGCTGATTGTGGAGAGAGACATCCCCAAGTGTTATTTTCCAGTAATAGACCCCTCCTCTGCATCCTCAGTTAAGGCTGTCTCCTCTCAAATGAATTAGCACTTCACAATCTGGAGCCTTTGATCGGCAGGTCTTGCCTTTGGGGCATCTTTTCTAGTGTCCCAGTGCAGAGCTGGAGTTTTCTTTTTAAGAATCGGAGCTTCTGGGGCTGGGGATTTAGCTCAGCTCAGTGGTAGAGTGCTTGCATAGGAAGCACAAGGCCCTTGGTTCGGTCCTCAGCTCTGAAAAAAAAAAAAAAAATCAGAGCTTCTAGCCGGTTGGCAGTGGTGCAAGGCTTTAATCCCA